AGCCATATACATCTTGGGATTTGGGATGCGTATTGTAAGTTGACCATCGTCATTCAGTTCCTCGGCGGAATCCAATTCTTCGGGAGATTCAGACATGCTGAAGGATATATCCAGCAGAAGATGCGGGAAGGACTGTGAGGAGGTAATAGTGAGTCCGAATGAAATTTACAAGCATTTTGAAGCGCTCGGTGGATGACGACCAAATGACAACGGAATAAGACCATACATACAGGAAACGAGAGTGCGACCAAGTGGCAAAGGGTGGTTTTCAGCCGTTGAAAAAAGTTGGCAAAAATTGGTGGAACGATCCCTCCGAGCGGACGAGATTAGAAAATAATTCGTGGAAGGAGTCCACCTCTTTGGCGTCGTATGGACAGAGAACGACCTAGTGCAAGCCCACTGGTACTCGAACCTGAACTTACTTACAGGTGTGACGTTACAGTCACAATACACTTTTGGTAACAGTAGTTGGATGAAAAATCAACTCACCCTCAAAACATACTCAAATGCTCTAGATTGCTCGAAACACGGCACGGTGCATTAAGCCGCCATTGTATCATACAGGAAATCAACGGGGAAAAATTAACTGGGGATTTTCTGATGTTTCTGGAGAAATGACCAAGTATTGGCTAGGAAGTGTTACATTCACCCAGTAACACCGGAGGTAATGACCACTTTGTCTGTCGAACAAATTGGTGAGAAATTGGCTGACATATTTCGCCTGGATTAACGAATCTGGCAAATGAACCTAGTGTCAAAACTAAGAGCCTATCTGGACAGTGAATGTTGGTGGAATTTGAGAAGCAAACTTCAACATGACCAATGCACATGATATGGTCAGTGAATCTGGGAGATCGCTTACCTACCACCATGTTGTCTGAGTTGACAAAATACAGTGAACTCCGGAACTGGAACACCAACTCTGCATTTCCAGAATGTTGGAGTTCATACCTTTGCTCCACCTGGCAGCAGATCCGCTCGGAGTTTCAGCACCTGCTCGGAATCCATGTGGAATTCACACAGACTCTTATTGCATCTCATCACTCCTGAGCCTCCAGGGACGCTCCATCACTTTCTTACATTGCTTAATTCCATTTCCCCCCTTGTTTCTGTTCCTATTCCCTTTATTATCATTAGTGAGTGCTTCTCCGCCCACTCTGCTACATATATATACTTAGTTTTCACTTCAGATTCCTCAGTCGTTCTTTGCCCCTCTTTGGCAGCGGCTGAGGTGAGTTTCCTTTATACCTATTTATTACTCCTAGCTAATCTCTGGTAGTCTGGGCAATCACTGCCCTATTATAGTTTTTGTCATGAGTATGTTGTCTGAGTCTGATGCCTCCAAAAAGTACAGGAATAGTCAGGCCTCCATCCACTCACTTTGTTCTAAAAGTACAGTTTATCTAACAATCCTGAGGAAGAGCAGAAAACCTTCTGCCAAGTGGATTCTAGACAAGGAAACAGCTTTTGTTGATTTTCTGCTTTCCCAGTTCTCAGCAAGTGGTGATGGAATTCTGAGGAAGGCCACATTCAATGAAGTTGTCACTCTCCTGAAGAAAAAATTGCCAGAGGCACTAGGTGCAGAGAAGGCAGGTGATATTGGCAGGAGCAAATGGACAGCAGTATGTGGCTTATCTTGAAATCAATTGAATCACTTATTCAATTGGCTTATGTTTGATAGCTCAAATCTGCATACCATGCAGTTGTGGATATCAAAAATATGTCAGGATTTACTTGGGGTGATGATCAGGAAGTAGGTGTCACCTTGAATCACAATGATGTCTGGAAACAATCATCAGGGAAATGGTGAAGAAGGGATAATCCACTATATTGGTCATGATGCTGATGATATTGGATTATAATGTCAGATATACCATTATTATCAGCATCATGACCAATATAATGGGTTATCTCTTCTTCACCATTTCCCTGATGATATCTCAAGGTACATTTTTATTTTTATTTTTTATTGTTGGGAGTGGCATTTTTCAGCTGATGTTGGCTCACTCCTTTCATTGGCCCCTGTCATATACTGTGTCATGCCAGTCAACTTCACTCCTCCAAAGCCTACTCTGCATTTCCACCTATATGCAAGATGTATGTAATCATATTACAGCATGCTAGGGTCTAATATATGTAACCAAAACTTCAAGTCAAAAAAACTGTCCAAATGAGTCATCATTTTGAAATGGCTGCCATTTCATTAAACCTCATCCAAAAACCTTGATCCTTGGACCAATAGAAAGCCAAGAGTAGGTACTGTATTCAATACACTCATATTTTAAGGTTAGGGTTAGGTGGTATCAAATGATATTGTGTTTAGTAAAAAATGTCTAGACATGCAGACAGTTTTTTGAGCCACTGTATATCACTAGATATTGTTGCCTAAACTGTCAGACCACTGCTTCAGCCTCCCAAAATTGAAAGAGGGTTAGGAGGACATGTGAGCATAACATTACAAGGGGCTATGTACATGACCTGGGCTTCTGATATGTTTTACCTATATATTATCCATGTCTAATTATGTATTTGCTTAGCACATATGTCTGGAATATCCAAAGTGTGAACTGATTTTGTTTTGTTTCATCATATGTCAATTACATTCAGATACAGTGCTTCAGTGGCTCATTTATGCAGCCAATTATGTTCTAGACTATGTAAGAAAATATATGACTATATAACTCAAGTACAGAAGGCAGGGAACAGCTGTAAGTAAGTAAGAATGCAGCATACAGCTAGGAGGTAGTCCATATGTGTACATACCTAGAATGTAAATATTCTGGGAGTAGTGGTTGACAGCCACATTACAGCCACAGGCTGAGTTTGAAGATTCTTCAACAGTGCACCCCAGCCTATTGCTGGGTATTCTACAAATAACACAAAAAAGCGGTAGTTTATGCTCTACTGAATTTATATAGTATATTATGACACTTTAGGATAAGGGCCAATAAGGTGTTGTGGAGTAATGAGTTGCTACAGCCTGAAAAAGTGTGGGAATGTCAAATGTTGAAAAGTGCGGCCTAATTTAGATATGTTTTAGGTGTTTTGACATTGGTTGTGATCTATTTCTGTGCTGTGGCTATGATTTCCCCTTTTGGTAGTTAAAAAGCGGATGACATAACTATCTAATTGTGGATAACCTCCAACACAAATAATGGTGCCTTGAAACACAAAAAAGCAGAAATGGATAGATCAAATAGGGATGGAATGGTAAGAAGGGGAGGATCAATAGTGGTAAGAAGAAGCATTGGTGATTACCCTCTATTATGCATCACTCCCTGTCTACTGTAGCCACACTTCATTGATAACCCAATAGGGTGTGGTGAAAATCAAAGTCAGATTTCCAGGCATTTATTGATAATTTTGACAGTATAGCCTCTGATTTTCAAAAATCCAACCAACATTTGCTGTCCAGATGGGCTCTTAGTTTAATCATCTACAACATTTGAATATAGTACAAACTCTCCCACTGTCATATACTGTGTCCCGACAAGTCAACTCTGCTCGTCTGGAGCCTACTCCGGACTAACTCCACCTCTCTCACCTTATTAAGTCTGCTTTTCCGCTCCTCCGCCCTTCCGCCTATACCCAAGTCTGCTTTTCCACTTTCCCACCTTATCACTTTCCGCTTTTCTGCTTATCTCTCTTACCCCTGATCCCTGTACCTTGTCCCTCATCCTTCACTTCTGACAGACGTTTGACATATCTAATAATCCCACCTTCTGATTAATCCGATTTCTGATTCATTCTGACATTTCCCAACTTAATCCTATCTCTTTGACACCTCTGACTCATATTCCACTTCACTCCGGCACTCCAGTGCCCTCCATGTTTACTTGTCCCCATAGTATATAAACCCCTCTTGTAATTTGTATTCCTCAGTTCAAATATCGACTTTGATCACTCCTCCTCTCTGTCCAACATAAGTCCCTCACTCAACACTTGAAGGCAGTCTTCTTGTTGTCACTCTGACCCTCTGACATCTGAACCCCTTTGCTACTCCGCTCCGCTCTGCCATTACTCTGCCCACTTCGTAAATACTGGACTGAACTTGGACAAGGGTGCAACACATAAGTTGAAGCCGACGTCCACTCCGCCTCCAACAACTCCAGACAGCCCGGAGGATTCAGCATCTTAACACCCACAGAGGGTACACCATAAAAGTCTCAAGGCCCTGACTCAGCATTTGACAAAAATTATCCAACATAAGATAGGCCACAACCAGCAAGCATCACATTGTGTGACAGGTGTGTGACACCTGGTCAGATGGTGGGAATCACAGCCACTTTTGGCTCATGGCAGCAACACATGTCAAATGATAGCAAGCATGGTGATTATTGTCCAAGGCCTTGTCATATACTGTGTCCCGACAAGTCAACTCTGCTCCTCTGGAGCCTACTCTGGACCAACTCTGCCTTTCTTGCCTTATCAAGTCCACTTTTCTGCACCTCTGCCTTTCTGCTTATCACAAGTCTGCTTTTCTGCTTTTCCACTTATCTCCCTTACCCCTGATTCCCGTACCTTGTTCCTCATCCTTCACACTTGACAGACATTTGACATATCTAATGATCCCACCTTCCGATTAATCCGATTCTGACTCGTTCTGACACTTCCCAACTTAATCCTATCTTTTTGACATCTCTGACTCACATTCCACTTCACTCTGGCACTCCGGTGCCCTCCGTGTTTACTTGTCCCTGTAGTATATAAACCCCTCTTGTATTTTGTATTCTTCAGTTCAGATATTAACTTTGATCACTCCTCCTCTCTGTCCAACCCAAGTCCTTTGCTTGACACTTGAAGCCAGTCTTCTTGTCATCACTCTGACCCTCTGACATCTGAACCCCTTTACTACTCTGTTCTGCTGTCGCTCTGCCGTTACTCCGCCGCTTTGTAAATACTGGACTGAACTTGGACAAGGGCACAACACATAAGTTGAAGCCAAAGTCCGCTCTGCTCACTCTGACAACTCTGAACAGCCCGGAGGACCTGCATTTTAACAACTGGTAGCTCAGTGGGAAGAGCACCACTGTACTACACTGGAGGCCACATGTTCAATCCCTGTTCATTCCACTTTTCTGGCATATTTTGTCAGCACACTGGCAGAAGGCTGGGAAACAGCAATATTAATTTTACAGTAAGCTGGATGTAAGTAGATATAACAATGCAATGTCTGCTAGTCAGGAAGTAAGGCCCTCTTTTGCCTTTGCTATGTCAAGATCAGCCATAAGTGTAGAGGGAAGTGACAGAGTACAGTGAGCTCTGGAATCTTGGAAACCAGAATGCAGCCATGGAAACCTGGAAACATGGAACACAGTCATAAAAACCCAGAAACTTGGAAACCTGGAGTTTCTGTGCAGAATCACTTGGAGTCTGCATGGACCTATGGTTTTTTATTGTCGGGAGTCTGTCTGGAACCAATCTGGACTGTTATCTCATCATCCTACCAAGTCTGGATACCATTCCCAATCTTCCACTACATGACTTAACTTCCTATTCCAGATCCTTTATCTCCCAAAGATTTATTCCTGATCTCCTGTCATCAGTGAGCACTTCTCCACAAATTGCAGTAGATACATATACTTATTGTTCCCTTCTGATTCCTCAGTTGTTCTTTGCCCTCCTTAGGCAGTGACTGAGTCCAAGAAATCCCTGCCCTCTTATAGTTTTTGTCAGATTTAATTGCAAATCTGAGACAATGTGAGAATAATTCAAAGCCATATGGGGTCCACCTACCTCTGCATTGTCATTAACAGAACAGCTATTAAATCCAGTTCTTCCAGTCCATCCAGAGTTCATGGAGTTGTCAGAATGGACTTGGCTTCAACTTATGTGTTGTGCCCTTGCCTGAGTTCAGTCCAGGTATTTAGCAGAGGAGAGGAGAAGTGGAGACATGGAGTAGCAGAGATGTGGAGATGCAGAGTAGTGGACCAAGGGGGTGAGGTAAGTTGGAGGGTCAGAGTGACAACAAGAAGACTAGCTTTGAGTTATTGGGTGGAGGTCTTAGAGGTCAGAGTTGGGAGGGGTGACTTTGGTCAATATTCAAACAAGTAGGGTGTATATACTATGGTGATAAGTACAGTAGACTTTTCTCATAATGCATACTGTTGGGAGCCTCAAAATCCAATGCATTATGAGAATTATGCATTATGAGCATGCATTTTGGCAGGTACACAACCATACCTCACTGTATTTTCCCTCAAAAACTTATGCATTATCCAATATCACCTTATGCATTATGAGAAAGTCTACTTCAAACACAGAGGGCACCAGAGCACCAGAGTAGAGAAAAATGTGAGTCAAAGTGTCAGAATGATAGGGAATAAGCCAGGATGAGATAGGAATGAGTCAGAATGAGTCAGAACAGGATAGGTTGGAAGATGGGGTTTGACAACTGGACCAAAACCAGTCTTTTTATTTACTGGATATTGTGCAACTGGGACTGGACCTGTCAAAACTGGTTGCTGCCACTGAAATGGTAAAATGCAACTGGTTCCACCTGGAGTTTGTTGGAAATTGAGATTAATAGTTTAGATTTCTGTAGGATTTATATTCCACTTGTGCTAATGCTACTGTAACTCATGCACAACTCTCACAGCTACCATGCAATGAGCACACCATGCACAGCCATGACAACAACAACAATTCTACACAAACACCATGGCCATATGTTTGACAAAAACTATAATAGGGCAGTGATTGCCCAGACTACTAAGTATTAGCTACGAGTAATAAATAGGTATGAAATAGGCTCACCTCAGCTGCTGCCTAAGATGGGCAAAGAATGACTGAGGAATCTGAAGTGAGAAATAAGTATATATATGTAGCAGAGTAGGTGGAGAAGTTCTTGTGAATAATAACCAGGGGAATAGGAACAGGAACATGAAGGAGATGGGGTTAAGCAATGTAAGGTAATGATGGAGCACTCCTGGGGGCTCAGGAGTGATGATAAGAAGAAGAAGAAGAATATGATGATGAAGTGTGATGACAGTCTGAAAGTTCTGGACAGATTCTGAGCAGACATTGAGACTCCAAGTGGTTCTACCTGGTGGCAGAGTGGAGGTATAATGTCTGGGTTTCCAAGACTCTGGAGTTGGTGTTCTGGTTCCAGAGTTCACTGTACTTTGTCACTCCCACTCAAGCACATTCATAGTCCCATACCCTGAACAAATTTCTAGTGCTGTTCCAAAATGAGAGGCTTTGTGAGGATGTCCACTACTATGTTGTCTGTGGGAACATAGCAGATGATGGCTTCTCCTTTTCCAACAAGGTCATCTCAGACAAAGTGGTATTTCCTCTGGATGTGCTTAGTCTGCACCTGGAATTGAGGCTCACAGTTTAGGATGATAGCAGCCTGGTTGTCACAGTGGAGGACAGTAAGCCCCTTTTGTGGATGTCTGATTTCTTTGGATAAGCTCTGAAGCCATGCAAGATGTTGACCAGCAAGACTAAGTCCAATGTACTCCAACTCCATGGTGGAGAGTGCAACCATGCTATGCTGTTTGCTGGACCAGGAGATAGCTCTGCAATTACTGAGGAAAAGGAATCTGGAGGTGGAGCAGGAGTTGTCCAGGTCTCTTCCTTGAACCAACCTGCATCAGAGTACCCCTGAAAGTCCATGTCCATGGATACCTCAGAGCCATCAAACTGGAGTTCCATGTCCTTGGTGGCTTGGATATACTGGAATATGCATTTCACCACTTCCCAGTGCATTTGCTTTGGTGTGGCACTGAACTGGCTGAGGGTTCTGACTGCATATGTGATGTCTGGACATGTTCTGAGCATGAGATACATCAAGGAGTTGATGACTGTGAGATAGGAGACTTTCTAGCCTTCAATGACCATCTCTGGGAGGATTTGATTGTTCTCTGGGTCCATGGTGGAGAGCTGGGAGTTGTGTGCCATCAGAGTCCAGATGGGTTTGCATGTGGTCATTCCACTGTGATCTAGGATGGTCTGAAAGTATTGGCACTGTGATAAGGAGATGGTCTGGAGTTTCCGGTCCCAGTTGATTTTGATCCTGAGGACGTATTTGGCTTTTCCAAGGTTGCACATTTTGAAGGCCACTGAGAGTTTGGCTTTGACAGAGTTCATGAACTGTCTGGAGGAAGCTGCTAGGAGTAGGTTGTCCACATAAACAACCAGGAAACAAACTTGCCCATCCTTCCAGAAGACATGGAGGCACATCTCCACATTGGGGTGAGCAAATCTGAGTTCTCTGAGCTTCTTGTCTAGGGTCTTGTTCCAAGTCCATCCAGCTTGCTTAAGTCAATAGAGGGAGCACCAGAGTTTCCAGCAATACCTAGGTTGGATAGGGACACCATCTGGAGAAGGTGGGTAGAGGTCTTCATCCAATTATCTGTTTAGGTAAGCAGTGGAGACATCCATTTGGTTGAGCCTCAAGTCATGTTTTGTGGTGAGGGCAACAAGGGTCTGGACAGAGTCCAGGTTTGCCACAGGGGCAAATAATTCCTGGTAGTTGATTCCTTCCTTCTGAGTGGATCCCCATGCAACAATGCAGACTTTGTAGCACTCAATATTTCCAGTGTGGTTGTGCTTGATGCAGAAGATGGGCTTGGAGGTTATTGAGGTGACACCTTCTGGAATGGGGATGGTCTCATACACATGATTGGAATTTAGGTTTAGGAGTTCTTCCTCCACTGCAGACTGCCAGCATTCTGTGTCAGGCCTGACAGAATACAGTGAACTCCAGAACTGGAACACCGACTCTGCCCTTCTGGAATGTCAGACTTCATACCTCCACTCCGCTGCCAGGTGGATCTGCTCAGACTTTTAGCATTTGCTTGGAACTCGTACGGAACTCTTGCGGACCTTTATCATAGTTCATAATCCTTTTCTTGTCGTTGCTCCGGAGCCTCCAGGGATGCTCTGTCACTTCCTTACATCACTTATCTCCATTTCCCCCTTGTTCCTGTTCCTGTTCCCTTGATTCTCATTAGCGAGTGCTTCTCCGCCCACTCTGCTACATACATATACTTAGTTTTCACTTTGGATTTCTCAGTCGTTCTTTGCCCCTATTTGGCAGTGGCTGAGTCTGTGCAATCACTGCCCTATTATAGTTTTTTGTCAAGGCCCTGCATAGGCTTCCCAGATTGTCCCCAAAAGGGACAGATCAGACTTGGAGTTGGCTGCACCTGCAACAATGAAGTCCTGAAGGGATTCCATGGATGCTGTAAAGGCTCCTGGGAATTCCAGAAGGTCTGGAGCTTCCACTGTGGGTTCTGGTTGTTGTCTGCCATGGCATTGAGCTTTTTGTGTGGCATCCTCATTTACAGTCCATTGGTAGCCCTGATTCTGGTCAGCTTGTTGATGTTGCTAATTGCTTTTCTGAGTTCCAGCTGTGATCTGGGCTGGTGCAGGTCTTTCCAGAGATGAAGGTTGGGGGTGGACAGGAGCAGGAGCAGGGGCAGGAGCAGGAGCAGGAACAGGAGCAGGAGGCAGACTCATGTGGATTTGCTTGAAGTGGTGTGTGAGATTTTCAATGGTAGGACCTGGTGGTCATTGTGCCTCTGGGTCATCCAGAGGTGCATTGTCAACTCCCACTGTTCTGCACAGGTCCAGAGTTCCAAATTCTGAGTTCTCCTCTTCCATGTCCTCATGCTCTGCCTCACATTGCCTTGAAAATAGTCCCTCCCACTGTCACTCAACAGTGGGGACATTCCATGGGGCAAGCTTGTGTGCGGAAATGGTTCTGGTCTCATTGAAGGTGACATGCCAACTGCAGATGATTGTCCAATGTTTGACATCCTGGAGTTTGTGGGCTTGTTGCCCATAGGTGTAACCAATCATGATGCATTTCTGTCTGTGGGAGTGGAATTTTCCTCCATGTTGTTCCTTCAGTACATGAGCATAGGTGGGGCAGCTGAATGGGTGGAAAATGGTGGGATCAATGTGTTGGTGAAATAGTGTTTGATAGGGGTCTTCTTTTGAGAGTGCAGATGTTGGAATTTGTGTGGTGATGTAGGCAGCCATGGCCATGGCATCTGCCCAAAAGGACTTTAGGAGTCAGGACTCCTCCAGTATGGCATTTGCAAGGAGGGATAATGTCTGGT